ATTTACAAATTTTTGAAAAGAAATCTTAAAAAAAAAAAAAAAAAGGTGGGGGTCACCTTTAGGTATTTTCATTTCTATCTCTATCATTTAAAAATTCCCTTCACCTTTCTTTTTATTTTTTGATCTTACTCCACCACCACAAAACAATTTCTTTTCTTCTTTCTGGCAGGGAGGAGTTGTCTTTCCAGTGAGGCAAAACTCCATAATTCACACAGTAATTCTGCATGCTGCTATTAAAATAGCCACATCTTCCCAGTGGATTAAGCTGTCTTACTCACCAGACTAGCCAGTCCGGACCTCTGCCAAATGCTATATTTACATTTCCAAACTAGAATCTGTTTCTAATACATTTTTATGGGGAGTTTTGACCCTTTATATTTATTGTTAATGAGCTTTCATCTCTGTAATAGCCTTTCATCCCAAAGGATCCTGAAGAGTAATTGTAATAACCTGGCATACAAAATATACACAGAAATCAATTTACCCGCCATTGAAATGTAGCCACGGCTGGAGGGGTTGAGAGCAAGCGAGTGTTCAGCAGAAACCCGCGCAGTGCTGTGGTGCTGCTTCCATCTGAGTGACAGGGCGAGCTAATTACCTGCTCTGGCTGTTGGCCAGCCGAGCAGGGTTCACCCATAGGCTTCCAAGGCAGCTTGCTGAGAGCTCAGGAGCTTGGGTTTTGGGGTTATCTGAAGGCCACCTCTAGGTGTGCACTCATCCAGCAGGGAGGAAGGTACTGGTGAAGCCCCCAGCACTGGAACAAGCAGAGATCTGGTGCCACCAGAGCTTTCAAGCAGTGTTTGGTGAGATGCTGGCATTGCTGCTGGGCATCGTTCCTTTTGCCACAGCACACAGTACCTCCCATGGCCTGGCACCCCGCTGCTGCTCAAAGCACACTCCTGCACAGCTGCACTTGGTGCTGTACAAATGGAGATGAACGCTGAGGATGTACTGCCCCAGGGAACCACCACCAGTCCAGGAGAGCTTTCACGAGGCTGAAGGACATCCAAAAAGCAAGCTCAGAACCTGCTGACTCTAAGGGAGACCCATGCTTGCTGTCACTTCCCTCCCCATGTAGCATGAGCTCTGCTCTTTTTAACCCCCAGGCCTGTTGGAGTCTCCTTTACCATTTGCAGATGTTTGTCTACAACAAGCATGCTGATGGAGAAGGGCAGTGGAGAGGTAAATAAAGTCATCAATTCCCAATTCCCTCGGGGAATCCTCAGCACAAGATTTATCTAAAACACCACTGCCCGTGAGGTGTAAATACTTTATAAATGGCTAGCTCAGCTTTCAGCGTTTTCATTGCTGCTCATACCCTGTGCTATCAGCAAGGGACACCGTGGGGTGTCTCATTTCCCACCCATGCCCCTGTGCTCATAAGGGGCTGTCAGCAGCAGCAAGGGAGGTGATACACAGCCACAGCAGCCAGCTCCTGCCGCGGCCTCAGGCAATTCCGTCAGGTCAGAGCAGAGCAGGGCACCAGCCGTGCCAGGATCAACTGTGTAACCTGCTGTTAAGAGGCTTTTCCATTTCCTCCTGCTCTGCTTTTAGCATCCATAGTCTGCCTACTGCGGGACAAAAGCCTCTTCAGCACTGATCCTGTTCAGCCTTTCCTGGTGAAGAGTGGTTCAGACATAATGCCACTGTGTTTGTCACCTTCCTGTACTTCAGCTTGCTGCAGATTATTTTCCATGATGGAGCAACCCCAAATTGATCAAATGACTTGCCAGCCACCCTCCTGAGTAAAGTAAGAGTCTCAATCAAAAGGATTTTTACTTTTTTTTTTGCCCCAGAAGGGCACCAGCCCAGGTCAGAAGGGTACCTGAGAGCCCTCTGACTTTGCTGGGCAGTCACCCGGTGCTCCCAGTGGGATCCCAGTACTGCACAGCATTTTTTAAAAAGCAGACAAGGCAAAAGAGACGGCAGGAAAGGGCCTCCCTTCCCCCATCCTCTCCCGTAAGTCATCCTCTTGGCCTATTTTACAGGAACTGGAAATCTATTAGAGCAATAGCTTAATCCGGTTTGACTGTAATAATTAGGGTGCTTTAAAAAAACCCTGACTAATCGTATAAAATGTGATTGTAGACAGTTCAGTGCACGACCCTTACACTTATCACTTGAGGTATTATTACAAACCAGAAACAGCTGGCAAGCACTGAGGAGGAGAATAAAAGAGGAAAAAAATGCACACACGAAGGGACACGAACTGTTCCTTTTCTGATCTCAGAGCGAGGCACTGCCAGCACCTTGGGCTGTCTGTCTAACGCAGATTCACAGTGTGAAGTCACCTCCAAGACCCCTGATAGACGCTTGTGTTTTTGGAAGGGGTGCCCCCACCAGCCAGCAGGGTCCTGCACCCACCCCTGTCTTTCTGACACTGTTTTTCCAGGCAGTCCAAGAGGATTTGCTGTAGCGGTGGAGTTATTCCCCGCAGGGTATGCTGCAGTCAGCAGATGTTCATAGCAACAATGGGCAGCTTTTCCAAAACAAGACAATCTGTATTAGTCAAGCAGGATATAGTGCTTTAGGGTCATCAGGTTACAATAGAAAAGCAACGCTGACTTCCATGTCTTAGCTGGTAGCAATCCCTTTTTCTCTTGCTCTCAATCTTTCTCAGGCTCAAACAGCCACAATTTCTTCCTTCCCCTCCTGAGCATGGGCTGAGAGCAGCTGAATTCCCATGGTGGCATCCCCACACCTTTAGTTATGCTATTTTTTCCTACATGTTCTGCCAGTAATTCTACAGGATGGCAGCCTGCTCAGGATGCTGTTGTCTCTCCAGAGGAGCGCACTTGTGCTGACACATCTCGTTCATCTCTTCCTAACACTCTGGTTAGGACAGAGTCCTGGCACCCATCTCCTCTCTCAGAAGAGAAATCAACTCTCCCACTCCCACTGACCCAAACATATATTTTGGTGGTCTCCATAAAATAAATAAAAAAAGAAGCCTCCCACAAGCCAGAGACAACCGGGGAACATCTATAGAGAAGACTCTACAGGATGTTTTGAGGAACTGAGTTCACTGCAGCAATCTAGTATAAGGGAGGGGATTGCCCAAATGAATCAGGAGATGACTTGACTTGGCCACCACATAAGTGTTGGGAGAAGCTCAGCAAAGGTTCTCCCTAGTTTGCTCCATTAAGAGCTGAGATGGAGCCCCAGCCCAGGCAGTAGCTTGCAAAAACGTGGCTCTGTATAGTCAGTCAGGAGCTTCAGACTTCACAGAGAGATGACAGCCAGATGAGGTTGCACTATCACCAATACGCAACTTTAATCAGCACTGAAAACACATGATCAACCCTGAAGGAGGCTTTTAAAGACTGAAATAAGTAAAAGATGTGCTATGATTTCAATTTAACATCTCTCTGTCTCAGTTACTGTGATTAAAGTCCATGGTTGATCTTGGAAGCTCTACAGCAGATTGTACAAAAACCATAATAACATTTGCAGTCATGGAACTTGCAGCTGGAGTTGTTTGTTTTCTTTCGCTCTCCCATGAGTCTTCCTTGTTTTTTTGTGTTTTTTTTTTTCCACTATGCTCCATATAGATTTTGATCTTTCCTTTATTAAATAGAAATAGCCATCCCCACTGACTCACTTATCTAATAATAGCTAGACCCTTTTAATTCAAATGATTTGATTCCTTTGAGTGTTTTTTTTATTATTATTTTTATTAAAGTAAACATACGGTTAGGGTATTACTGGGAGAGTGGCAATAGAAATACCACGGTCAAATTATCTTGTGACTCAATTCTGCAGAGCACACTGAATCCTTTTTAATACATTTCACAAGTACTCAGTAGTGACCTCTAACACCAGAGTGGTTTCTCTCCTGCAGTAGCTCAATTTCACAACTCTGAATACACTTTTTTTTTTTTTTTTAAAGGAAAGCCATCCAAAGATTTTTATAAAACATGCTTTAGCCCTTGGGAATGAGCCAATTTAATGCCAGGGTATCATTCCATTTCAAAGAGCTGAAGGATTTGAGGAAACACAATCTGCTTTCTGAACAATGTGAGATGAATACAGTTGTGGTTTCATTAGAAACCAAGCTGCAGAGTTTGGATACAGAGCTCAACTTTTCCAAAGTTCAGCAGCAGCTCTTGGTTTGTCAGCTGTACTTTCCTGCAGCACTGTTTTTGTGTCAGCCCTCCTTTCTAAGCCTGCTCCAGCAGGACAGGACAAGTGCCTCAGGAGTAGATGACAAAGGAGACATTGCTGCTAGCCAAAATTTCTATCAGTCAGTCACTGGCCTTAAAATAGGAGGGGAGGAGAGGTCCCTCCATAAAGCCAAGAATCACCAATTGAAAGCATTAGCCCTTATTTTCAGCAGTTTTATCACTGTGTTTGAGAGGATGCTGGAGAAAAGATTGAAGTTGCTCTTAAGCCAAGATTATGCCTTGGCTGCATCCTTACTCTGAGGCCATCAGAACCCATCTGGTCTTTTTTCGAGGTCACAGGACAGTCCAGAAAAGTGCCCTGTTCCAGAAGGACCCATGGAGAACCATTTTTGCAACCATTACATTTCTTCTCCATCACCCCTCCTGCACTGCCACATTTCCAAGCGAGTGCTGGCATTGTGATAGGAATAACACAAAATAGCACATCATGGTGCAAGCTGAAGAGAAGTATTTTTTGCCTAGTTTTCTTGTTAAAACGTTAGGGAAAAGCAAAATAGGCTTCTAATAGAGTCATGGATCCAGGAGTTGTGGTCAGGCAACACGCTCTGTGCTCTGCCTGCTTTGAAGATCAGCTTGGTTTTAAGTGCAATTTTTCTGTTTCCAATTAAAAATTGGGCAGGAGTGTACAGAATAACCCCCAGTGATTAAAGCAGAAAACAGCAAGCTCTGAAAATGCCTCCTGAAAGCCAGAGCCACCACATGCCCCACGCAAAGGCGCAGTCTCTGCTGCAGCCACGTTCTGCAGCTCCAGACGCTCACCCGCCACCGCCACATCCCCGCACGTCGCCAAAGAAACCTGCCCAAGCCACAGAGACACTCGGTCACATCTAGCTTTATTTTAATCCCGTCAGAAAAGTTCAAGAATTACACCAAAAAATACTTCAGTCTCTGCTACCTACTGACAAAAAATACACCACAAAATTATAAACTGTTCAGTGGTTTGCTGGAGTTCTGATTTTTGGTGGAGGGAGTGGTTTGTACATTTTGGGTGAGAAATGAATTTACAGGTGGAAGGAGAAGGAAGGGTAGGAAATCAGACAATGGCATTTGGCACTACATTTTTAGCTATGCTATACAGTTATTTATCATGATGCCTGTAAGGACTGAGGAGTTCTGCCCTCATTTACACCCTCTAGTGTCTATGTATGCAAAATGAAGGACAAAACTGCCCAATGCGGGGGAAGAAGGGGTCAGTTCCTAATTTCCATCCCAGTCTAGCCACAAATCTGAAAAAGCAGCCTTAGTAACACGTGAATCTTGCCCTCTATGTGTGCTCTGATCCTGCTGCTCAGCCTTTCCCTGCCTGCATTACTGAGCAGCAGAACCACTTGGCAGCAATGGGCCAAGCAGAGGCTCTAAAAAATAGAGAATCCTTTTGTTATTATTTTTTTTTAATCCCATCAGTCTGTTCTAGTTGTACATGCCATTTGTGAGGAGAGGATGTTTCACACTGGTCAGGATTGGACTAAGCTTGGGGTCTAGTCTGTGTATGCAAGCAGGGGTTTGACGGGACCCTTGTACTGAGAGTACGCTATGGCCACCCCTCTCTAATTATCTGGAATGAAACTCTATATTGACATATCTGAAGCTGAAGGAGGGAAGCTGGAGCATCCCGTTTCATGGGTGAGAGGAAAATTAGGGGCCGAGAAGTTAGAGGTTTAATATTGTTTTATACTATCACCACTCTTGAAAGGCTCCACATATTACAATGGCATTTCTTTGTCTCGTGGTGACCCTCTGAGGGAGGCCTCGTGTAACTTACCAAAGGTCATGCAGGAAAGCCAAGCCAGAAGCAGAAATGAAGCCCTCATCTCCTGACTCCTAGCTCTGTGCTCAGAAATATACCCATGACTTCTCTACAGCAGCTTCCATCCTGCTCCAAATCCACATTCCAGCCAGGGTTTCAGCCTCAGATCCCAGCCAAGATCACCAGCACAGTGCAGCTCTCTACAAATACCGAGATCTGCCTGGATTTGCTTAGGCCACTGTGCAGGGCTGCGTGCCTATGTCTTTGCATGTGTGTGTGTTTGAGGGAGGAGGGGATGCTTGCATTTATCAGTAAATGCACATTGATACTAGATTTGATTTGACTGCAAAATATCCCCCCTTTGGCAAGCTAAACAACACTGCAGTGTCTAACAGGTTCTCTCTATCCTGTATCTCAAAAGGATTTCAGCTTATTTTTCAGCATGTTAAGTCTGTGCCACAGCTATCCAGCAACGATGAAACTTTGCGGGATTCTCTTTGCTGCTTTTATCCTCTCTGGCTGTTTATCTAATTTGCTTTTTTTGTTTTTTAATTTCTTTTTCTAACAAATAGTTAAGCAATGATTTAAAAATATTTTTACATCGTAAGGTACAGTCAACATCAAACATGCCTTTGTACAAGAGCTCGACTCGGTTACAAATCAACGAGAACAATGCACGAAAAGAAATATCCATTAAGATGACTCCCGCACTTGGGTTCTATTTATTCCCACCGTGCTGCTAGCACAGCACCCTCTCTCAACTAGAGCAATGCAGTATAGACATGGTGTTGTCCCCCCACCCTCCCACTTTGCCCATCACCACTTGTTAACTTTAATGACCTTCTGTCTTGGCAGCCTTGGCTTCATGGTTTACTGACCCTGAAGACAGCCAAGGCGATACAGCCCGGGAGCTGGTCTGCTTGGCCATGCTGTAGTGGCTGATGACAGTGTAGAACCTGCCCCGGGAGTTGGAATCCTGTGCGGAGTAGTACGCGTCCAGTGAGGCCGGGATGCACCGCTTATGCTGGAAAAGGGGAGAAAGCAAGAGAAGTAAAGCAGGGTCCCACCAGCCTGAGGTTCTCCCTTTAAAAATCTCTGGGTTAGGTGTTTGCAGGTATGATGTTTGAGTCATATGCTGCAGCGAGAGCATCTGCTGTGCAACCCCTACTGCCTTTCACCAGCCACGTGGGAATGCACAAAGTTTAGACTCGGGCAGCAGCCTTCCAAACCTGTTGCTATTGGCAACCCTGATTGCAGGCTGATTTCATTGCTGGATTGGAAATGAGGACTGTAAAATAAAGATCTGAGGGGTTTGGTACGTTACTGGCACATACAGAGATCAAGGCCCCTTGCTGGAGTCCTAGCAGAGTACCCGGGGCAGCTCCTTCCCTGTGCTGGACTGAAAGCTCTGTCAAGTGACATTTAGAATTAATCCTCATTCAGGCAGAGGACAGGCAGAGTTCTGCTATGTTATTGTATGTCATCCCTGGCCTGTGGGATGGCCACCTTGGATGGGGATGGTAGGAAGCACAGCCCAGCTGGCCAGCCCTTGTCAGAGCTTCTTGTCCGTGCAGACACTGCCAATGCGTCTCCTCTGTGCTACTGAGGGCACTTGTGTGCTAAGAACTGTACAGATAAAATAATTCATTTTGCAACAGCTGTAAAAGAGCAATGAAATAGTAAAAATGCCGGACAGGTTGGTATTCACCAGATTCAAAGTAGCACCAATGACATAAAGGGCCTCAGGTATGATTATTATTAAATGATGAGACTCCTCAACTCCCACATCAATGTGACTAGCTGAAATCTGAGTTCAAAGCTTTTTATCTTTTCAGAAGTTCAGGTTTGGATCTGTTTCTGAAATTCATGTCTGAGTCCCAACTTCACTTTTATATAACTTAAAAGAATAATTCACAACGACTAACACACAAACATACTTACTCTATTTTCCAGCTCACAGAATAACCTCAGTGTGGTCACGACTCCTACATGTTTATGAGTTTATTTGCAGCAAATGTGTCATTGAACTGTTTTGCAAAGTTTATTTTTTATTTTTTTATTTTTTTTCTTTTTAAATCTCAACAGAGTAGGCAAATAGTTCTCTGCAAATATTTGATATAAAACCACAGGGCAGTGGTTTTTTAGCAAGTAGGTTACATGGTTTCATTCTTGATGGACCTCAAAAGCACACCAAAAAAATGAACCCCATCGGCAAATTTGGATTTCTTTCACAAAGGACACATGTGCCAGCACTCTGGGAGTTTGCTTTGCATTAAAATGTACAACAGTAAACCTCAGTCGCTTAAATGTGTGGGAAGAAGGCGCAGGATTCCAGCTGCAATAAATCCATTCACAAATATGAGGGATTGTTCCTGAACATCTGTCTGTAGTGTTCACCAAATGCTAATCCCAACAATTACAGTGTAACAGTAGCTGATGGAGGCAGATGCAAGTCCAAATTTCCCATAACACTTTTCCCATTTCAACACATTCTTGCCAAATGTTCTGTTTGGCCTGGTCAAAAAAGCAGACTAGACTGTAACCATGTAGTCAATTAGAGTATATCATTATCTCAGGCAATTCATCCATCTGAAGTTTCTTACCTTATAAACAAATCCATCTGGGCAACTGTGGTCGTAAGTAAAGGCTTTGTATACCACAAGAAACACTATGCAGGCAAGGAATGCAAGAGCCAGACTTATGAGAATAGTGACCTACAAAAGAGGGATAATGTTACTCTACATATGTTAAAATGGCATATGAGCAACCTCATAATTAAATGACTTATAGTAACATCCATCCTAACAGACTGCAGTCTTCACTCCACTGTGCAGTACTTAACTAAGCATGGTAATTGAATGAATGCTAGATCTAATAGCCCCGAATTGTCACATCATTTCTATCCCCCTAGAGACCTTCGGAAGTGCACGTTCCTGTGTTTAACCCATTGCAATAGATTCTCCTAAGGCATTTGGTCTTCTCCGAGACTTTGTGTTCCCATGCTCTCAGCCGAGACCTCTGCTGGCCCAGCAGGATTCACCAGCAGCCAGAGACTCCACATTTAGGGCCTGATCTGTGCAATAAGCTGCTTTACAGCCACGGCAAGAAATGCTTTTCTGATAGCAGATGTAGGTAGGAAGAATGAAGCCTCTGTAGAACATGACCCTTTGTGCTTTCTGAGTGATGCTTTAAGGCTAAATTGCACCTCAAGTAGCTTGCAGAAGGGAATCCTTCTCAATCTATCAAAGTTATAAAGGGAGAACAGCCAGCCACTGACAAAGGCCAGCATGTACGTCCCACCATATATCCAAGAGCAGGCAGGCAGGCATCGTGATTGAGGTCTCTGTAAGCATTCCAGATGTCAGTGCTGGAGTTACTGGACACAGACAGGTCCAAATACTCCCTCTCCTCATTCCCAAGCAGGCTGCACCACTCTGTTTCTTTGCTGCAGCTCTCTTCTTCCAGCTCTTCCAGGTCCCACTTAGATTGTTCATATAACAGCAAGTTTGCTATCCCCATTCAGATGTCTGGATTGAAGCCCTGACCCTTGATTGTAGCTGTGCTAAAACTTGTGTCCTCCCTAAGGACTGAGCAAGAGTCCCAAATGCACTCTCGTTCATCTAGGAAGAGGTTCAAGTTCATAATCATCCCATCAGAGAAGTTGCACTGGGTATATATTTTAGTTTAAACACCTGGATAAGCACCAGCCCCACCTCCATTCTTCCCTTCCTCAAAGCTTTCTTGGTCCCAGCTGGTAATTCATCAAATGCCATGTAAAAGGCTCTGGACTTTTACTGCTTAAATTACAGCAACCCATCCTGTTGAGTCTGCTGTCTCACACTGATCTGGATTGGCATGAAAAAATCATAATCCCTGGGGCTTCAGTGTTACCATGCAAACTGGGGCTCATAATCAAATGAACTCACTTACTGAGATGATGAGGGTGGGAACAGCAATAGAGGATCACTTAAGACTGCTGCACAGCCAGCAGCGTGGGCAGGGAGCAGAGGCAGCTCAGCAGCTTCCCCCGGCTCGCAGGCACTGCACACCAGCAGCCAGGATCGTACAGGAGGTTTGCCTGCACCGAGAAGGTGCCGCAGTGTCCCTGTGTCTGTGAGCCTGTGCGAGACCGTGCGCTGAGGAAATTCCCACAGCAAAATACTGAGGTCAGGCATGGGTTTACAGGATGGACAGGGATTAACGAGGCTTTTGCCTACCCCTAGCTTCAATCTGTTTGCTCCTGAACCCCAGTTTTGCACCACAGCACCAGGAGCCGAGCCCAGGGCTGCAAATTCTCCCCGGTCACATCAAAACCGTTCCACTTGGAGAACCACAATGGAAGGACGAGGAAGGGGCTGCCTGCTTACCACTGGCTAATACCCCTGCCTGCAGGCACGTTCCCACCGTACCATGTATCTGCTTATCCTCATAACCAAAACAGACCTCCAAAGTACACCCTCTCCCCAGTATCATCACAGCTGCATCCTCCTGTATGAAAGACAATCATTATCACCTACTGCCCTAGCAAGGAAAAGACACACTTTTTTCATTTCTGTCTAGCTATTGGTCCCCCCATCTTTCTGTTGTTACGATTATGTCACAATTATCTTTATTTTCTTGTACAGGTGTCCAAGGAAATTCAATAGTAGGTACAGGCAGAAGTTGTATGGGAGATTGATTGGTAATGTTAGAAAGTGGGGAAATTCAGAGATAATTCCTATAGTGTAGTGACTAAGCTTGTTAGGAACAGCAGGTAATAAATAATAAGCTGGATACATCTCAGAATTCATTAGTATAATATTACTAATATAACAACAGTATTATATATATAACAACAGTATTATATAACATATCAATAAAATATATTAATTGTTTAATACTAGTTCACTGAATTTTGCTCAAATTCTCTCCTTTGGTCATTGACATAGCTGTAATTCTGAGAACCTGTAAGATATGCAGTCCCTGCACAGACTCAAAGGGGCTGCTGTAATTGCTTGCAGTGCAGGAAGGGACTTCTCTCCCTCATCCATCCTGCAGAGATTCACTGCCAGGTGAGATGTATTCCTAAGCATGTAGCACATTGGGACTATTACTTAGAGAAGCGAAATCAGCCCTAGCCAATGCTGGAAGATCCAGAACTACAATTTTGGTGTCCCTTTTAGAAAAAAAAAAAAAAAAAAAAAAGAATGAAATTAAATCTTCATGTATGATGTCAAATCTGACCCAACACATACAGTTCAAAACTCAGGAGAGAGAGGTATGAAGATTATATCCAGCAGGAGAAATTCATAAATTCATTGTTAAGTCAGAATATTTTAGAATAAAAGTGTAAAAGGGTAAGATGACTGGGTAAGACTGGGACTAATGGGCTTTTCCAGTGGTGACCAGTTAACTGCAGCCCTGACTCTCCTTTTAGAATGACTGCTCATATTAACCTCCTCCTTGGGGCCTAATCTGCTGCAAAATGGGTCAATTAAGCAAAAGGCAGCTGTAGAGGGAGAAGCACTTACTGCTGGATGCCATCAGAGAACACGTGTAAGAGAGTCCTGGTGTGCTGAAGAGGTAGCTGGTAAAAAAGTACAGCTGTATGAATTTCACTAGTCTGACCAAGAAAATAAGGGCTCCACCTCCTCTCCAGAAAAACACGTTTGCAGGCAAGCTAAAATGTAAATATTTCAGACCAGTTTTTTTTGTATCTCATGTGTTCCCAACCCGGGGAAGCCATGTCCTTTCTCACAGGACTTGAGAGGAAGAAGCCTCAGGTGGATTCAAAGGAGATGGAAACAGAATTTTCCATGATTTCTGCCCCCAAGAGAAGTCATACTACACCTGAAAGAAATGAAAAGATGGCACTTTGAAGAAGTATACTCAAAAGGAGAGACTTCCTGGATTATGTATGCCAACACTACCTTATTCAACAGCAGAGCCGCAAAAAGGACCCCTCTCCAGAAAGACCCAGCTCTGGCAGGCCAATGTAGAAGAGCATTTCCCTCTGTAGAATTAAACGCCCATCAACTCTTCTCCATTTAAAAGAGGAGCATGGTAGGCCTAGTATCTCCTCTCATAACAGTTTAAGTAGTAATACAAAGATGACAATGACACAAGTCTCCTTTGAGGTTAGTTTGAAGGCACAAAAGCAAGACATACATCTTGGTCTACCAGTGTTTAGAGGGCAGTCCTGGCTATAAATTCAGCAAGTAAGAAATGCTCTGTTCTCCAGTTTGGTTGGTCTGCTGTAATTACAACGTACAGTGAATGAAGAAATCTTGCTTAGGTTAACTTGGAGGAACAAACTTGGGCTCACATCAAAGGAAGAGACAAAGTGCACTAAAATTATACCAAATACCACCCAGGAATGCATAGGGCATAACTCAGTGAGAAGCTACCTCTTCTTTCTGAGAAATAAGACGATGCTCATCCTCTGGCTTTCTTTAGAAAATACAGCCCTCATCACAAGGGCTAGCAAGAGATGCACACCTGCAGGATGCACACCCTCTGCACACAGTTCCTCCTGCCCTAATGTCTGCATGGCACCTTTCTCCTCCTCCTCTGCATCACAGTTTCCTCCAGAATGGGGCTGACTGCACCTAAAGATGATGTGAAAGAGGAACATCCCTTCAGCTGTGGGATGTCTCCCTCACTCAGAACGAATCTGTCTGCCTTACCCATGAGCTGCCACCAAAGTGGCTTTAAAGGCTTCTCATTCTGAGCCAGATAAAATGGCCAAGTTTTTCCTTCAGCCTTGAAAAATGGAAAGAACTGAGCTGTCTGGAGCAAGAACGAATGTCCCTTTTTTTTTTTGTTAAATCCCCTGTACACGCACAGCCTATGGAAATGGCCATTAGTAATGTGATTTGACTGGTTCCTTTCCTCTTGTCTGCCCACTGAGCGCCTAAAAATAATAAATTCCCCTCTGCTCCGGCGCTCTGTTCCAGCAAAATGCTGACACCCAATTCATTACCTCCCGGGAGCAGGTCCCTTCCGCTGAGCTTTCCCCTCCCTCCCGGGTGTAATTGAGCCCATTCTCACCTCCCTCCTGCCGCTTCATGCACTTGCGAAATTACAGCGTGACACAATATTACACATGATGATACATAGTGTAAAATTGCTCTAGGATGAAATGTCATGTAAGATGTTAAAACCCAGAGGAAAGGGAAGGGAAAAAAAAAAACCCACCCCCAGATATTTCGCCAAGCCAGAGCTAAGATCCACCTCTATTCCAGGGAATACAAAGCTTCGTTAGCATTCAAACACCAAAGAATCACAGGGCTGCAATACCTAATAAACCTCCACTTTTTTTTTTTTTTTTATGAATAACATGAACCTTGGCAGTCTCTAAGCAATATAAACACTCACAGAGGGGAAATAAAATTTAGTGAGCAGATAAAACCTAGAAGTGCCGCAGGCATGAATCTGTCACGTGTGACTGCTCGAGTGGGTAGCTGGAGGGGGGGATTTGCCCATCCCCTCCCCGAAGTCATATACAGCTCCCAAAGGTTCCCTTAGGAAGGGAGTGCTGCAGAGAGAACATCACTACCACACCGAGGAACTCCCCATCCACCACAAAACGTGGAAAAAGGCTTGATCTAAGGCCCCTGACTTCGATGAAGGATGATTTCATTTGCCCATCAAGAAGAGCGCACTTAGCTTGGCTCTTCCCCATCCTTCCCATAGATGAAGTACATACTGCATTTTCACAACAGCACAGATTAAA